GTGAACTAAATCTCATTCATTTACAGTCTGAATCAGGTTGGGCAAAAAAGTCATATTATCTATTTGCACTGAATAGGTTCATAAGCTTCACACAGAGTTTTCCTCACCAGCATAGAGCTCAGTAGAGCATGGACATTATTTTTTCTTATCAGGGTGAAACATAAGAAATGAAAGACTGACTATTTATGATACTATACATAGGTCTGGATTCTTAATGCCTTCATCTCACTTTGTAAGGAAGTTCGCACTGTGTGGTCCTGAAGCCAGCACCACAGCCAGATTTCAGATGGAAAACAGAAGGTCCGAGTGAAATACCTGTTATATGGAACATACAGGATAATTACATTGCATGCTAAAGTAAGGCAACTGGCTCAGCAGCCTGAAGGACGGGATTTTATTCTGTTGGGCTGAAGCAATCTTCTGTGGGGTTGGAGCCAAGAACATTGAAAAGAAAATGTTGTTCATAATCCATCTGGCTGAAATCTTATACTTATCCTGTCTAGGCACTGGATCTAGCTGAGAGCCAAAATTAGGCTATCAGGAAAGGTACCACTGAGATGGGGATGAAGCCAGAGAGCTGTTGAGGGAACCTGGTCCATGGGCAGATAACAACATGTGAATGGGAGTGGGAGGGAAAGGCTGGGTAGCGGTTCCCATGTCAGATGAGTGTGGCAGTGAATGAGTCAGCAGTGGTGGTTATAGTCTTCTCGGTACCCACAGGGATCTTTGCAGTCTTAACCAATGTGTTTGGGTTGGACTGTCAACCTAGCAAAAAACCCAATAGCAAATCAGTTTAGATAGGAGAAGAATGGCATCCTTTATCGAGGTGCTTTATCAATATCTTAATTAACTGAACAGTTACAATATCACTACTCTTACAACTCAATACCGCATACAGCCAAGAAACAGCCGTTCCCATACTGTCAGGCTTCTAACATCTCACAATTCAAAAGAAAAACAGACTAAGGTATAAACTTCAGTACAAGGGAGCACTTCACGTCCTCCGCTATTTTTAAGTGAGCCTAAGAGATGATTGATGTATTTAAATAGCTGTTTAATAAATATTATGTGTGAAACTATGGAAATTTAGATAAAAGCTGCCATTTTGCAACTGATATCATCTGGGGATAGGAGGAAAGCGTGGGGATTATAATTGATAAAATCCTGGACTTCACTGTTTGGGATGGTGCTCAGAGTTTGTCAGCAGTCTTAATCTCAATAACCTCTAGTGGAGCAGCTCCGTTTATAAACAAGTGCACTTTGCAGCTGGATGTTTTATGCCACCATGAGAAAAGTAAAATAAATAAATCAGTAGGTCACCTTCTTAACTTGATTTTCCTGAGGCGGACCATTTCCTTTCCTTCATGAAGCAAGAACCGATCTCTTTCAACATCAAGAAGAAAGGAAGTAGGGGCAACTTTCCCTCTGCTCTTCATTTTCACTTTAATGCCTAGGATGAGTTGATCACATTTTGTTCACTAAAATTTCACACGTTGGGGGATGGGGTGGGGCATTTGTTTGTTTGCTTCTTTTCTTAATTTCTTCCCTTTCAGTTTTTAGAAAGTCCTCCCCGCAAATTCTGGCAGACCCCAAGCTCAAAAATCTGACTGCCTATTTACACAATGGTGTAAGGGCCAATTAGCCAAGCGTGACACCAACCCAGGAGTAAGCTTTTTCTTAGCTACAGGCTGTGTTCTGTCCACTTTCAGGAGCTAGGAGTAGTAGTGTTGAGTCCTTTTATTAACATAGCAGGCACCCAACTTAGAGCTGTGCCTATTTAGACTTCTAAAAACAGTTTGCACTGAACATGCCCTCTGGCTTCCTGGCAGGGCTACTCCCATACCAGTAACTTGATATACGCCCTCATGGTCACCGTAACACCAGCCAAGCACATGGAAATAAGAGCATCTTTAGAAAACACCTCAATGGGTTAAAAAACCAGCAGGGCACAGCTACCAAAGCCATGTCTGGGATTCTTCCCTCTGCCATGCAGAGAGGGGGCTCCATGCAGACGGCAACTTCTCACGCAGAAAAAACTGTTTTCAGAATTGCAACAATTGACTAGTTTGACTTTGACTTGCTTTATCCCTCCAGCACTGGGGTAGGGAAGAGGGCAGAAAGGTATCAGCTCAGCTAATGGCACGCAGAACGATTAACTAAATGCTAGAGGCTGAGGTCCTGCCCTCATTGCACTGCTGCAGCTTATCACAGAGGATACAGTGGCACAACCATGTGAGAGGACAAACACAGTCATGGCAGAGATGCAGAACCTTATTACTAGTAATCTAACTCTCAAAAAGGAAACAAAATGCTGCATAAATGCCTGGTAGGTGGTTAGAAAAGCTTATTCGCAGTGTATTTAATCTCAAATTACAAATGCAGACACAGAACACACTTTTAAACATACCAGACTTGCCCCACTGTAAGACATTTTCAGGTTTTTCGTTCTGATTTTTTTTCATTTTGAGGGATTTCTTGAATAGAAAATTCTACAGTCACATTACACAGTGGCCTCTTGTAAAAAAATACTGCTCCGCTTTTCAAATTTCCTCCCTTCCTTTCTG